CTAGTTTAGTTTTCCATGACTATGGAGCAACTCGGCAGCTTGTGCGATAATATTAACCAACTACTTATTAATTGTTGTTTTAAATTATGTTCCACTTATATGCATACTAAATAGATTTTTCTCTTTAAAAAAAAACATTTTTTTTTTTTGTAAATTTAGTACTTAATATGACAGAATTTACTTAACTTAGCAATACAATCTAAAAAAAAATATTTTTTGACAAAAAATTAATAACCGATTGCATAAATGTGCTTCAAAAACGGTAAATAGTCATCTCCCATACTAAACAGCCTCCCAACTTTGTTACTATTAATAGTAAACTGCTTGCATTATTGATTTTAAAAATTAAATTTTTCGCTTTCAGAAAAGAAAAAAGTTGCTATTGCATCAGAACTTTGAATAGTCTAAAATATTATGATGTCAAATTTTCTCTTCTTTTCTTTGGGGGGGGGGGGGGGGGGGGCGCTAAAACAAATTGTTTTAATTTACTACGCTCAATAATGTATAATTAAGTGAGATATATCTAGGTATAAATGTGAATGAATCTAATCTAGTACAAAAAATATTTATTACAGGAGCCTGTTTCATTGAATAGATGAGATATCTAGATAATTTCAGCAGTTATCAGTAGTCTTATTCATCATAGACTCTTTAGATGGGCAATAAAAACAGTAGCAATAAACATGAGACTAATGGTGCAACCAATACAGGTAATAAATAGAAGCAGCTTCTAGATCTTTATTAATTCTAGATTTAAACAAGAGTAGAATAATTATAAATTATTCTAAATTAATTATTGTAATATTTTAAACTAGTGATTCGAAAACAATGATGGGATGAATCAATAACAAAATTCAATTTATCTGGCAATATGATGCTAATTTTGAATTTTGGGAGTTTTAGGGCCCCCCTTAGTCCACCCAACTCTAATGACTTAAAGTAAATGCGGTCATTGTGCTGGTCACATGTCACTCTGCTTGATAACCATTGACCAAAGAAACAGATGACCTTAACATCATATACCCAAAGATCGCAAGGTCTCAACGGGGAACTTTACTTTGATGCTGAAACAAAAGAAAGGTTATATCAGCATTCTGTGCATCTAAGCTTTTAATACATTAATATATGATTAATTTATTATTAAGAGTAGTGGATTTTTTATTATTTTATTTCTGTCCTGTAGTATGCAAGTACACCTTTGTCAAATGTTGCATTGTTCTTCAAGTTGCTAAAGGTTGACCTCTAATTTTAACTTCTGCCGAATTCTGTTTCAATTCTGCTGAAAAGACCATCTAGTTCATATCATTTATATTAAGTGTCATAAAAATAAAAAGCTTGCTTGTTTGTTTTATATTTAGATATAGCCTTGCAGCTTTTTTATATCAAATCTTATTGTACCGGTATGTTAAGATGTAGATTTATAGATATTTCAAAGTACCATTTTATGTTGTTTTAAATGCCTGCAGATGAAAAAAAAAATGTGCATCAAAATATCATACTCCAACAAACTTTAAAGGCTGAATTCTTACTAAAAATTATATCAAATTTGTTAACAATTTCCAAAAATAATCTTTAAAAAAATGTCACATAAAAGTTTTGATTCTAAAACATTTTTTTTGGTTTAGGCTCGACTAAGTATCACATATTCCTTTAGAAATTAAGATTATTAGGTCTTAACCCATATTTTTTTCAGGACCGCAGGGTTCAAACCAGGGACTTTACAGTGCATACCACATGACCAGGCAAAAGAAAAAAAGCTTTAGCCTAGCCTCATCAGGAAATGGCATTTTATATACAAAATATAATAAATTGTTAAAAGACACTTGAAAATAAGATATTAAAATTAAATCATTAATTAAGGGTATATATTTATTTCTTCATTATTGTTTTTACCAATTACAACAAAAAATATCTCTTCCTTCAGATTCCTGTCAAAATGAAGCATCTGCTTATATTTCCATTAAAGTGATGTATGAATTGCCAGGTGGCACTACTGAAATGTCAAATTTCGATGTAGCTTCGACAATGAACGTAGGTTATTTTCAACTATTTTTTAATATGCTGTTTACTCTTCAGGAAACCTTAGCTCTTAATAAAATACATGTGGCAAAATTCTAGGTTATAAAATAGGAATTTTAAAAACAATAAATGACCTACTTGACTAATATGCTATTATTGTAAAATCTTGAGTCTTTCGGGGTTAGTTTTTTTTTACAAGCATTAAAATTTTTTATGTTCATATGTCTAGATGGAGGTGTAGTGGTAAAGTACTTTGCTTCTAAACCAGAGGTCCCAGGTTCAAATCCTGGCGAAGACTGGGATTTTTAATTTTGGGATCTTTTGGGGGCCTGAGTCCACCCAGCTCTTATTAGCTGTAGGTGTTTGGTTGGTTGTTTTGTGGGCCGCAGAAACAGATGATCTTTACATCATCTGCCCTATAGACCGCAAGGTCTGAAAGGAGAACTTTACTTCACTATATGTCTTGATAACAAACATCTTGAAGTGTTTCAATGGCATTGTACTATTTCTACAATGAGTATCATCTATCTCTTGAATTCTATCACAGGGGTAATTTGACAGTTAAAGTAACTAAATCTCTCCATTTTTCCTGGTCAGCAGCTTTTCTTAGCATAATATCAAGAGTGAGGTCGGTCCATTCTTTCATAATGGCCCACCAGCTTTTCCATGGAAAACCCTTATTTCATGCTTCCTCCACTATACCTATTTGAAAGTGAGTCATGTCTTGCAATAGGACAAAGAAGCACAGCTTTTGTCTCTTCACATTATTTAGAAATTTGCCAGCCAACCAGCCATTTAAAAAATAGTTTATTTTATGGGATGCAAGGTCTAGAGGCTAAGTACACTTGAACTTGGCTTTGTTTGGATACCCATGAAGGGGGCTCAAGGTTCGGCACCTAAAGACAACACAGAAAACCTTCTCCCAGATCCTCCCTCACCCTACTGGTTCGCAAATGAGATTGGACCATTGCGCTCTGAGCTTGTTATAAGCATGAAAGTAGCACTATATAAAGGCTATTTTTTTTCCCCCAGTATCTGATCCCCCAGCAGTTTTCTCTACCATTTACTCTCAAAGGGTTAAATTCATCTTTCAGTCACCGCATTTAGCATTTCACTTGGAAGCTGGTATTTCTTCTTCTTCGTTCTCATTGTTATGTTTGAGTGTTCAGATGACTAGACCAATACATGAGATGAACTGTGCAGTGGTTTACTTGGAAGCTGGTATTACTCTTCCCGATCTTCCACAGTTTACTCTTAATTTACTTACGATGGCAGATGCCAAGTTCATAGGGTTTTTCTCTCTTTTAGCGTTTCAAGATCTCATGTTATGTTTGACCTTAGGTATTTAATTAAGTCATCTTCTTCTAATGTTTGGCTATTCAACTGTATGCAACTTCTCATATCCACCACTAAATAGTATTTCACTTGATAAAAATTCAATTTTATCAATTAATATTGTTGTCAATTTTTAAAAAAATATATTATAGACCAAATTTGCTTATCAATTATTAAATAATTATCAAGTAATTGTAAATGTATTGTAAAGGTGATGATTTAGGCTTGAGTTCTTCTTGGAAAATCTAATGAGATCCAAGATTATATTCCTGATTCACTTTTAGGGAAGCAGGGAAAATTTTCTAAGATGAAAGAAGATTGCAGTTTTTTTACATAGCGCTAAAGGTACCAATAACAAATGTGAAGATCACAGCCTGGACTGCATAGCCATGTGAAATACTACAGTTCTCCTTAATCTTCTGTCTTGAAGTCAGGCTTATTATTACTGTTATTATTATAAATATGTAGATAAGCAGTATAGGAGGTTGACTTAATTGTTTTTTGTGTTCAGCTTGTGTCTGTTTTCTGTGTAGATCTCCATTAGGTTTCAAACATATTTACCCTGTTTTAACTCCAACTGTCTCTTCGTAAGCTATCCTGACAGGTGTGCTTCCTTCTCATATATGTCCTATATCGGTGATGAACTGTGCAGTGGTTTCCAGATTTGGCAACTCTTCATATAGTTTCTGGGCCATGTCTTTTTTGGGCCTCTCAATACTCTGTGAAGCTTTGCTTCCTTATTTTAGCTGGTGTCTGAACTGGGACAAAAAAAGACGAAGATTTACTTTGAGGGTTGACAGTAAATTGAAATCCAAAAAATTATAATTTTTCCTTACGTTAAATCTGATGATGTTTTGCAGGTTGAAGATTTTGTAAATGACCTCAGCATCAAGTTTAAAATAGATCCTGAAAATATTTTGATATTTAGACACAATGGGAAAACGCCATTACCAAGCAAGAATAATTTGAAACATTACGGCATAAAGGACGGGGATATTTTACGTGTTAAGCAGGCGAAAATTTAAAAAAATGATCTTTAATGACTTTTAAGACCAAAAACATTTTTAAGTTTCCATTTTTAAAAAAAATATGTGTACCTTTAGCCGATTGTGACATATATGTAATTACATAGGTGGATAACAAAGTTTTGAATCTAAATCTAGATCATTTTTCATATTTTGTAAAAGTATAATTTTAATTACTTATTTTATTATTTTATACTGTAGACATTTTGAGAATAGGATTGAGTGAAAAAAAAAATAATTGGGTAGATTGAAGTGCCTGTTAACTCTGTGAATGTTTTTTTTTAAAATACATTATACCTTTTTGTAAATTTATGTAAAATGTAATATGATCAATTGTAAAATAAACAACATGTCCTTTCAATTGGATCCAAATATATATTAAAAATGCATACCAATAAAGATTTTTAATATACTTTACCTGGACTCTACATAAAATTTAAAAACTGAAACTTTTTTTTTCAATGAAGATTGTAGAATTTTATATGCTAGAAAGATCAACATATATTTCATGTGGAGGAATCCATTATCTTGTTAGAGTTAGTTTTTAATTTTTTTATTGCCCATATCTTTCTTCAACCTTGTTTTTTTTCTTTTTTGAAATTTTGTACCATTCATGTTATCTAAGAGTTCTCTATATGTTCCTTTCAAAACCTAGCTTCTACCAAATGTAGTATGATATCCTATTGAAGTAAATTAATGACATGGGCCATATTTTATAATTTGAAATGAAGTTAAATGTTCACCTGTCAGAAAACTTAATCTTGTTGATGCAAATTTTTTAATTGATCAGCTAATCTCTTATACAACAGGCTGTATTGATTTTCTGTTTTGTCACTTGAAGGATTATTGCAAACGGTACCATTGATTCATTTGTTTATGAATGAAAATATGAATTTTTAATTTTTTTTTTTTGGTACTTTTTGCTAACATTTGATAAACTGAAAAAACTCAATTAAATAGTTACATTTTTTAAAAATATTTCTTTCTTACCTAGTGTTATTGAACTTTTTCCATCTCAGATTTTATATATATAGTGCTTTTTTGTGACGGTACACACCGGCATGGCGTACTGGTACCTTTTTAAATGTGGGGAAAATTTATAATTTTTTTTGTATTTTAATGTTTATTATTAATTTATTAGTAGTTAAAAGTTAGGCAATCCATCACTGAGTACCAGCTCCTATTTCTTTTACAAAACAAGGTTACGAAGACAGTTTGTGTGGAAACACTAACTCAAAATCAGCCCCTGAAGTGGTCCAACCAGGCAGGTATCAATGTTTTCAGAAAGAACATCAGTATTAAATTCTATCAAAGACCAATGACAGAGAAGAAAGGAGAAAGAAGGTTGACAGATCTTGTTTGGTGCCCCAGGATTCCAATGAATAGGGGAAAGTGAATGTGAAGTTAAATGCGAACCTGGCCTAAATGATGTCTTATAATGAATAATTGATCTAATTGTTTTGTAAAGGGTCAGTCACTTATTCAAATCCTCAAAAGAAGAAAAAAACATTTCCGTATAAAAAATCCTTTAGTTAAGTGTTCTATAGCAGTAATGTAGCGCTGCAGTTCACCAGTTAATATGAATGGCTGACTGGTCGTGCGGATTTATCGATGGTCGAGGGTTCAAATCCTGCTCGCTCCCATCCCCAGCAGTCCTGCGGGAGGTTTGGACTAGGAAGTAAACTATCTTCAACTCTGAAGGAACATCCAAAACATGTAAGACATTTTACAAACAAAACATATGAAAACCTACTTATTAATTGTTGTTTTAAATTTTATGTCCAATTTATATGCATACTAAAAAGATTTTTTTCTCAAAAAAAAATGGTTAACATTTTTTTGGGGGGTAAATGTAGTGATTAGTAGGACAGAACTTACATAACGTAATAATACAAATGTAAAAAAAAAAATAATTTTTTAACAAAACGTCTAAAACCATTTGCATAAATGTGTTAAAAATATGGTAAACTGCCATCTCCCCTACTAAAGAGCCATGTTTGTTACTATTAATTGTGAATAGTTGTAAAAGTGGCGTATTTTTAATGAAAAAACTGCATGCATCAGTGATTTTAAAAATTAGATTTTTTGCTTTTAGAAAAGAAAAAAGGAGCCATTGCATCAGAACTTTAATGGACTAAAATATTATGATGTTTGATTTTCACTGTCTTTTCTAGTTTACGAGATCTAAACGGGATGGACAGATATTTCACACAAAACTAATATCGTGTTTTCCCCTTTCGGGACTGCTAAAAAGCACTGTATATATATATATATATATATATAATCCTTGTAAATACACCTTAGCTTTAAATCTTTTGACCTTCATTTTATTTTGTTTTTTCTTTCATTTTAAATTACGTATTGTAATTAACTCAACTTGTCGGCATTGTGTAACCATTTGTTTTTTTTTGCTTTACCAGCTTCTAAGACTTTTGGTCGGGCCTTGATGGAAAATTTGTTATAATCATTCAGAGCTATTTAAAGATTTCAGTATCCTGTACTTGAAAAGGTTATCAAAATGATTTTTGCAAAATATCATTTCCAGTATGTTAATTACTTTTATCTTTTTAACCATTTTATCACTTTTGCACAGTAATGTCAACACTTTCTTACAAAAATTGACTGGCTAAGCTTTGTATTCATTTTTTTTTGTGCCAAAATTTATTTATTTTTTAAATTCTTAACAGCAACTTTAAATGGTTAATACAATGAAAGCAATTTTTATTATAAATTCTAACTGTTAGTACTGTTTTGAGGTCTTATATTGTTGTATACAAACTTACTTTATACTGTCAACATACATTCCAACATACTTATGACCCTTACTCATTACCCCAGTTGGGGTACTGGCCAAACACAAATCATTCTTTTCTTTACAGGGTTGGAGATGTGAAGTAATTCTTTCATGCCAACCTTTATCTTGTTTTGCCCGGTGCTTCTTGTATTTGTATTTTGGGTTTTTGTCCAGTCTCTTTCACACCTCCTTTTAGGTTTCGCTTATGTTTCACATTCAAAATGTCATTGTCACTATTTCAAAATATAAACTTGATTGACTCAAACCCAATTTTGCAGTGCTTTAAAAGCAATGGTTATTTGTACTGTTTTTCTTAAATTCCTGACAAACCAAAGTCTGTATATCCATCCAGCACAGTATATTTTAAACTACTGTCCAGTGACTATATATAAAACATGAAAAAAAAAATTAAGTCTTGTGACATAAGTGCCTTTGACATACTGTAGTATTTATTCACAAACTATATGTATTTTGTTCTGAGAAAAAAAATGATATTAAATGGCAACAGTATTATTCTAGCATGTCTTTTTTAATATTTAAATCTGTACCCGGTATACCAGCAAAAAAGAAGACTGAGTCTCTGGATTGTCATTAAATTTTTTTTTAATACCTATATGTATGAATTTATTTATGTCAAATTTAATCACAGGAAAAAAATGATCATGGAGAATTTAATGGTCTAGAAGACACTTTGGTACTGTATACAAAGAAACATCCACTACTGGGTAGTCATGATAAGATGCACAACTACGGTCAAAAGTTTTTCTTTTTCGTCTAACATTTATTACAGTACCAGTGCTATGAATCTACTGCTGAGGAAAACCTAAACTGACAGACAATGGTTATGGAATGTAGCAAAATGTGTAGTAAATTGTCAATTCATCTTGCTGATGAAAAGGGGTGTGAATTATATGCAATTATACTATTTTTAACTGGTGATTTGGTTGTATTATTATAATATATTTACATAAAAATGTATTTTGGCGTATTAGCATCAGGATAACACCCAGTAGAAATGTTTTTTTGCTAATGCTTTTTATTCTGTGATCAGAGCAACCTGCAATATTTTTTCATCTCTTTAATTGGTGTTGACAGTGTAAACTATTCGTATATGTGTATGAATTGTACATGACATCATGAGCATAAAATTATGAACCCATTTAAAACTGTCATTGGTGTTGACACTTTAATGTACCATACACATTTATACATGGCATTGTATTTTTTTTTGCTAAATTCTAACTTAAGTAGTTTGGCTATACCATTAATTTGCATGCAAAAATGTTTATCTGGTGCCTCATTTAGTGGCCTTCAGTTTTAAAACTATTGCTACCTAGTCATGTGGTATGTGACCTGGACTGCCATCCAATGTTAATGATAGTCCCAGATTTGAACTCCTGACTTCATGCAGGATTGGTCTAGGATCTATTAGTGTTCAAATCTGAAGGAACATCCAAAAATATGTGAAACATAAAACAAAGCAGCTTTCTTGTTTGATTTAATATCCTTCAGTGACATATCTTTGTGTATGGACATAATATACAATTGTTCAAAGCCCCATTATGCACACACCAGGGAATTTTATAAACCAGGAAGGAAAGTTGCCTACAACCCCCATTTTGGTACTTTTCCCTACACAATACTAATAAAGGCTTAACATTTTGTCATGCTCATGTAAATGAATAAATTGTGTTCTTTTTTTTTATATATTTACTAAATGTCTTGCTTGCTGTTTATGATCTGGAGTACCAACTATTAATAGTTTTAAATACACGAATGATATTATTTAAAAATTGAAATATTTCACCATAAATTTATGGAAATTTTACAGTAACAGATGCTTCTATTTTAAATTCATTTATAGTCGACTTTCAACCTGTAGATTAAAAGGTCTTACCAGAATCAATAAGTACACACGGACACAGATCCAAATATAAATAAAAAAAAAAAGTTTGTATGGTTTCACTTTTTATTAGATAAGAAAAAACAATCTACTTTTCATCTTTTTCATCTTCTTTGTCTCCTTTGGTTGCTCTTGTGTAGATCATTTGAGAAGCATGTTTGGATATGAGACGAATCAAACCTGAAAAGGGAAAAGTTTTTTTCTTAGCACAATCACTACCTAATATTAACTTTAAATATAAGGGTCATGTAACAGCCAGACACCCAGCCTCTAACAAGGAAAAAAAAATGTACCGTATTTTTCGCCATATAAGACGCACCCAATTTTAAAGGAGGAAAATCTAGAAAAAAAAGATTCTAAACCAAATACTGTACTAAAATATTTTTTATCAACTGTATAAAGTCTGATCTACCCAGACGGCACATTATGACGTAGGGTGGGCGGTGTGTCTTCTCCCCGTGATTCGAGGGCGGAGCTTGTGGAGCCATTCTTCTGCCCATCAATCATGGGCCTCCAATAGACTAGTGGGGGCGGAGCAAGACCGGCAGTATGAGGTAGGGAGGGCGGTATCTTCTCCCCGGGATTCAGGGGCGGAGCAATCCTTCTGCCCATCAATCATGGGCCTCCAATAGACTAGTGGGGGCGGAGCAAGACCGGCAGTATGAGGTAGGGAGGGCGGTATCTTCTCCCCGGGATTCAGGGGCGGAGCAATCCTTCTGCCCATCAATCACGGGCATCCAATCAGCGGGGCGGGATAGAGTATGGACATCAGTAAGCATAGGCTGGAGGAGGCGGAACCAGGAGGCAGACATGCGGACATTTCAGGGCAGCATGGATTGATCGGGTGCCCGGGAGATGTGCAGAGAAGCGGCGAAATTGTGCCCACACTGCCCTGCAAGGAGTGAGACTGCTCCGGGAGACATGAGGAGACGCAGCCTGCGCTGATGGATGGAGGTACCGGCAGTAAGCTCAGCACATGGTTAGACTGTCGGGAAGGGGGCATGGCGCGCTATAGGAGGGAGAGGGAAGCCTGAACACACACAGCCTGGCCGTGCAGGGAGGGTCACAGAAGTCACCACAGCCCGCAGTACGTGCCCCAAATCCAGCCCGCAGCACACACTGCATAAGGAAAGGACTGCGAGTAAGCGCCACATAAAGTTGGGGGCAGTTTTAATGCATGTAAAATGTGTATTTGCCGTACAAGACGCATTTGATAACGGTTTTAAATCCTCACTAGAAATTATTGGTTTCATAGATAATAAAGAAAAAAAGTTTTCTATGATTCCTAAACATTTTTTAAATTAAATAACATGGAAAAGAAGAAACATTTCAAGAGAAAAAATGTTAACATACAACTTCCCCCCCCCCCCCCAGTTTTGGAGAAGAAAAAGTGCGTCTTATACGGCGAAAAATACGGTACTTACCCATGGTCTATGCTTGAAATTTACATTCAGTATGAAACTTTTCATTTTATATACAAATGCATAATTCAGTTACATAGAAACACTCCTTAAATGGATTATTATTACTCAAGTACTGGGTAGCTAAATTTTTAATAAATTGTTAAAATGGAACAGAACTGCTTTACTGCAGAAGAAAATCCTTTTAAAAAAATGGTTTGCAAAACTGATTGTACACAGACAGCCCAACATAATTAACAGGACTTGAAATGGTGCATTAAATAGTATATTATATTTTAGCAATACACAAGTTTTACCTTTAGAATGCAACTCTCTGAGGGCCTGCTTTGCAAGTGATCCTCTGACCTTTAACCTTTCAGAAACTACTGAAGGGGTAATGAGTTTATAGCTGGGAACTTCTTTGTACAGTTTATCATAAGTTGCCTTGTCAAAAAGGATCAAATTGTTGAGTTTATCACGGACTTTTCCTTTGGACCACTTCTGCAAATTGAATAATAAAACAAAAAATTCACTGATAATTTTCTTTAAGGAAGAGGAAAAGCTAGGTCACATTGAAAATTGAAGTCTGGCTCCACTTTATGGTGTAACAGCATGTATGTTTGTCAGATCATTTTCCAAAACTACATTAAGCCTATCAGTACCTATTGGCTGGCAAGATTTCAAAGGGCATAAGTTTTGAGGAAAAAAAATTGAAATTTTTTCGTCATGGCAATGATTTTTTATCTGGGAAATAAGGTGGGGATAAAAAAAAACTAGTTAATCACTAATTGCTAAGCAACCATTAACTTATGTCAACTATTTTGATTAGTTAATGAGCATTAAGACTGCAGCCTACTGTGTGCTAACAAAGAACAAATAAATTTACCTTCTTTTTAGCTTTACCGCCGGAACCTTCCTTTTTAGGTTTGCCTGCAGTGGTTTTAGCAGCCTTCGCTGCTTTGGCCTCCGCCTTCTTAGCACCCTGTTAATAAAGCAAAATTTGAACAACCTTTTACTTTTATTAAGAATGTTAATCTTTCTATAGCCAGTATAGGAGTATTAGGCAACTAAAGCATTTTACTTGGAAACTTGGTATGGGAATCTCAAGCAGCCTGTCATTACCCATATAATCATTATAGTTAGTCTACAAAGTGAACGATTTGTATTGCACAAGATAATCTAATATACAACAGATCAGTGTTGTTGTTTTTTTATTTTGTAAAAAAAATATATTTTAAAATAGGTGCCGGTACTTAGATTTAGTGATGGATTGCCGAACTTTGAACTAGATCTAGATTATTCTAGATCTAATGAATTAATAAAGAAACGTTAGAATACAAGAAAAGTAACTTTTTTCCCCGTATTGAAAAAAGTGCAAGTACGCCATAATTTAACAGTGCGTACCGTCACAAAAAAGCATTGCTACTAATAATAAATACCCTTAGGTCTTAACTTAAATAACATTAAATATTTAAATCATTTTAAATGCGCGGCAATGGCAGCAGAAAGTCAACACTGAAGACATGAAGATAGCAAAATAACTGTCTGGTTAACTGCTTTGCAACAAATTTTTTTACGCCTAGGAAAGCCAGACCCTGTGTATGTCACTTTTTTCATTGTACTGACTTTTTTCTTGTTTTTGAACTTTTGGCAGTTTTTGGTCAACTTTTACTTCTTAGACTTAGTTTTCATCAATATCTTATAATTAAGACCATCTATTTTTAAGTAAAAGTAGTCAATGACAAATACTTTTCTTCTTCTTCTTCTTCGTTCTCATTGATTATGTTGGAGTGTTCAGATGAGTAGACCAATACATGAGATGAAATGCGCAGTGGTTTTCAGATCAGGGAGCTCTCCATATAGTTTCTTTTCTATTGGGGTGATTTGGGGCCAATGTCTTATACGAGCCTCTTGGTATAGAGAGCAGTTTTGGAGGACGTGGTCTGTATTCTCTGGTGATTCTCCACATGGGCAGATTTCACTGGTTCCAATTTTGAGTTTCCGGTACATGTGTTGTCGCATTCTGTTGTGTCCGGTCCTGAGTCGAAAGATTAGACGTTGGTCTTGTCGGGATAGCTTATAGTAAGCGTCATCTTTCTTGTGATTTGGATGAGAGCTCGTCCATTTCTCATTTATTTTATTTACTATTAATTCCTTCAATTCTTCTGGATAGAGTGCAGAGTTTATTAGTGTGTTAATTCTCCCACTCTTGGCGAGTGAGTCAGCCTTCTCATTTCCTTCTAGTTCTATATGAGCTGGGATCCATTGAATTACAGTTTTTTTGCTATTGTTGTTGAGCTTTGTAAGTGCTGTTTTGAGGTTATTAATATATGAGGAATCAGAGATTTGCAGGCTTTGGAGGGTTGTTTTTGCATCGGTTAGTCTTACTAACAAATACTTTAAATCTAGACAAGATCTAGCCCACAAATAAGGACAAATCAAGCCTACGACTTAGCTCTCACACCACCATGCAACCATCATAATCATGATCATCATTGATCATACTCATACCATGCGGCATGTGAACGTGGTGTGGATAACATTCATATCTCAATATATTTGTCTAATATTTAGGTAGTCTAGTGGAAGTTAGTAGACTAATGTATAGACATGATTACTCACAATTTATGTGATTAACCCTAATAAATAACTAAAAATTTCACGACTAAAAAAAAATCAAATTTACTCAAGTTCTAACGCATAACCTACCATGATGCTGGTCGGAAACAGAAAGGAGGATGTAGACGGCGCTTCGAGCGAGAATGGCCAGGTAAATTGCTTCAACAACTAAAGCCATATTCTTTTTTTTTTTTCTCAACAATTAGAATTATTATCATTATCATATCTTATAAATTACAGACGTCCTTTAAATAAAAAGCATTCTTTCAAAAAAAATAAAGATAATTACATCATACTAAAAAAAAGTTTAACTAAATTCGTATTCAAAAACTTGGAAAACTTGGAAAATCTGCTAGCTAGATTTAAAATGTAAAATAATAAATAAAAAAAAATAATAATAAAAAATGATAAAACGCTTTCAAATAATGCTCCGAAGAACGACATAAAATGATAGATCTTCAGTTTGTATGTTAACATTTTTTCTCTTGAAATGTTTCTGCTTTTCCATGTTATTTAATTTAAAAAATGTTTAGGAATCATAGAAAACTTTTTTTCTTTATTATCTATGAAACCAATAATTTCTAGTGAGGATTTAAAACCGTTATCAAATGGGGGGGGGGGGGGTGTGTGTGTTAAAGTATGGACAATATAATTATAATAAATATAGGCCAATCCTAACAATTGCGGGGCCCTATGTGAAACGGATTGTGCGGGACACAGTCTGAATAGGGATAATGATAATATTTGAAAATTAAGATTTTGTACTAGAAAATAAATTCGTCATTGCATTTTATTTACAGTATATAGGCCTACAGTTCTTTACTCCCAAAATTGACTTGGAAGAGCACGTCGTACCATAACACAAGTGACACTAAACGAAATAAAAAATTATCACGCATAGGTTTGGCCACCCCAAGAGTATAACTTTGTCTATTTTTTCAGGAGATTTTAATAATTTTAGGAGAATTTCATGACTTTTTCGTATATTTTACAATTTTAGAAGATTAAGTTATAATAGTTTGATTGTAGGCTTATAATTTACACATAGAAT